TGCCGGTCCTCGCCCCTCCATCACTCCTCCCACCTCCATCGCTCTTCCCCCCTCCGCCACGGGTCCCCTCTCTGGCACTACCCTCCCACTCGGTCTCATTTTCGGCTTGTGATATCTCCTTTGTCAGTTAATCTGATAAATTATTGTGTTGTTTGATTGTGGAGCATGCTAACCCAAGTGTTACTTGCAGAGGATTTATCTTTGCCTGTTTTTGTGGAGACCGAGTTCGTGATGGGAATTATTGGGAATTGCTTTCTTTGCTCTTCTGCCCTATCTAAAGTTTGACAAATTTTCATTTCTTATATGGTCTCTCTATTGTACTGGTGGATGCCCTGAAGTTTTTTGCAAAACTCTTATGCCATTGACGTGGCTTCTTCGGGTGCCTTCAGTTTGGAAAACGTACCTATTTTCAAATATATTGTAGTGAGACATGGATCGCAGGGCTAATTGTGTTTTCTTGAAAACCAGTTTTCTGTTGACTTGTTGTGGCACATAATCCAAAGGTCAAAAAAAGACTCAAAAATCTTGTCCGCAAAACTAGTTTATCAAAAAACGTATCACATAATTTGGCAAAATGGACTTTCGTTTTGGTCCAGTTTTCATGAAGTGCATGTTTTAAAGAGAAATGGAGAGAGGCCTAATGTAAGAATTGCAAATTGGAAAGAACCTGACAGTGATGCAGAATTCTCTTTCAAAAACAAAAAAATATTATCCATCTTCCGCCGTTGACAAATGTCATAGGCGGCCTATGTTGCATTTCCAGCCTTCGAACTCACCTCGCCCTCAACCGATGTTTGGGAACGGTAGTGGTGGTTTAATTTGCCTTAAAAAACAAAAACTAAGTTATTCTACTTCTTGATACTACTTGATGTTACTTGATAGTAATTAAGAATTAAAATAAATTCTCATTCTGTTGTTTTTCCTTCTTAGCAGGAATCACACGAGGAAGGTGGGTCCCAGTTGCCTGCGAGTAAGAATGAAGAAGATGGAGGAGGAGGAGCAGGAGGATCAGCACCAGCAGCATCAGCAGTAGCAGGAGGAGCACTGGCAGCAGCAGGAGGAGCAGGAGGAGGACGAGGAGGAGGAGGAGCAGCAGCAGCAGGAGGAGGAGGAGGAGGAGGAGGAGGAGGAGGAGGACCGGGATTAGGAGGGGGAGCAGGATCCACATCTCCAAGGAGTAAAGCACAATCAATATCGACATCGCCAAGGAATAGGATTGAAGAAGGGGAGGTAGGCAGTCCAAGGTCACCAGGAAACAGGATACAACCTCTCACTGCAGAGGACGAGGGGAAGAGGAAAATTCACCCTGACTCTGTCATCACATTGGAACTGGAAAAGTCCATCGTATCTGCTCAAGTGAAAGGATTGCTGAGGGCAAGCATCGTGTGGCCAGGAATTTTCTACGGAAAAGGAGAATGGGCTTTTCAACATTTCTTCAAGGTAATATTAAGTGTAAGGTTGTTTTTTTTTTTTGCGGGGGGAGGCGTGGAGTTATGGAACAAGGGAACGAACTTGTCAGCATTTGTTGAGGATAAAATTTACTGCAAGCATTTCTTATTTTAATTTTTTCACGCCTAAGGTGTTTTGTTTTTTTTTTCAGTTTTTTTTGCGCCTGCAACATTTTTGTTCTTCTGAGCGTGTGTTTTTTTTCTTCTTTTTTTTTTTTGGGGGGGGGGGCACGCCCTAGGCTGGGCCACGGCCGAGGTGTCTAGGCCACACCTGTGGCTGGGCCATCACCGAGATGTCTTGACCATGCTCATGGCTGAGCCACGGGTGAGATGTCTAGGCCACGCCCATGGCTGGGCCACGACCAAAATGTCTAGGCCACGCCCGTGGCTGGGCCACAGCCGAAATGCCTAGGCCACACCCCTGGGAAAACGACCGGTACCGGTACCGGTACCTCCCATTTTTGCCGATTGTTGAACTCGCAGGACCATTTCCACTACAGGTACCTGTTTTTTTGTTCTCTCGAACTGCACTGCGTTCAGATTGCAGTCAGCAGTTATTCCTGCGAATTTGGAACTGTCGTTTCATATAGATATTTTATTTTATTTTATTTTATTTTATTTTAAATATGGTAAAGAATTTAGATGTGACCCTGCGGCAAAAGTTGTTCAATGCAACTGTTGACATCAGCAGCCACGGAGGTACATGAAGATGTCGCCCGATGCAGACCATCGCGAATACCAGGTATGTGCCCTCACATCCTCATCATCATCATCCTCTCTCTCTTTCCCTCGACTTTCACCCTTGTCTTCCCTCTGTACACCCGAAGACCACCCCTGCGCCTTGCTGTATTCCAAGCACAGCCA